TATATATATATATATATGATGCGATACGCATCGACCATAGACGAGTTAACGCACGCGTGTGTTTCGTGCAAAACGTGCACGGGGAAAGCATGTCGTTCCATTTCACTTGTCGTTAGAACACACTCGGTCCAGAGCCACCTTTCACGATTTTATTTCATTTTATCTGCTTTTTACACGTATGCTATTAGAAAGTATTTTTTGTGTAATACACATCGAACTTCAAGTGCACGTAGTTTAATGGCCGGATGTTCGGACGTTTTCTCGTTCAGGATGAATGATTTCTAAAGCTTACACTTCAAATAATATGATATTCTCTAATCTAAGGAAATGAGACTAATAATTTATTAATATTAATAACAAATTTATTAATAATTAGCGAATATGCGGTGCAATCGATCGTCAAGAAAATATTTCTGTTATCACCTTAATGATACATATTTGTATTTCGTCGCGAGCATTCCGTCACCTAATTTCAGTACATCGAGATAATATTTTATAATTCACACGCAATGACTTAACAACAAATTTACGGCGCAATCGCGCGAGAATTGTCAGCTGCGTAATTCCAATCAGGGATAATCGTCACGTTTGATAATAGAAAGTAACCCGTCATTCGATTACTACATTGCTATTTTCTAATGCCGGGAAAGAATGTCGACAATCTCAACGGGCTATTAAATTTCTCTCGTCGCCGAACCGCTGGAGCGTTGCCGACATGGCCGATTCATCCGTTACAAATAAATCGAGATGCATTGACGAGAATTCGCGGGATGCGACTTGAAAATCATACAGCTGAATGTTTGCCGGTATATTTATTCGTGCATCGCGCGAATATAAATCTGCAGACAAACTGCGGATTTCTAGGGACTCATAAGGCCGACTTTCGAAAACCTTTTTAAAATTCATTTCGCATTCCGGTCATCTTCGTTTGTTCTTCGATCGTCGCTATTATGCATGTACGCAACATCAGATGAACACGCTCACGCAAGAATTATAGTGCAGTATCTCTGATGAAGCGGTACGATAAAATTGGTGTGTCGATAAAAATTATCAAACAATGGAAGTCAACTATAAATTCAAGAATATTCCGCAACTTTGCATAGATCTAAAGTAACACTTTTCGAACACACTTTTCTTTTAAATTTTATTCATATAGAGTTTAATCCGCTGTTATTCTGTTTTTTTCTGTCAATGATTATTATGTTGTTACATTATTATGTGCTATTATTATATTATTATATTATTATATTATTATATTATTATATTATTATTTTCTATTATATTCACATTGTATTATTAGCCAGGCTCATGAAAGTAGTTTCTGGCCTTTTTGCACTTGCAATAAATTGAATTAAATTAAAATCAAATTAACTATTATATTGCGGTTATTATTAGTTCAAGAAAAAAATTTAGGAACCTGTTATAATCGTTGATATTAACCTGATTACTGACTCTTATGTGATCAATTCAATAATTATTACATGTTAAATAAGCTAAATGTCATCAGTATAAAAAATATAATTTAATAAAAATGTTTCAGAAGAATTATATGACGAATGTTTTAGGAATTATATGAATTTTATATTAAGCAATTCAATTTTATTTCAGATTACTATTTTTCTATTCTTCGTGACTTTAACACTTAGCACATGCTATGACGAATTACCAAAACCAGGCTATACCAGAACGATGTTGAAAGTCTCTCGAAGTCTTCCGGGCGAGACGGAAGAGTTAAAAGTGCGAACAAGCGAAGGCAATGTGGCCACTTTAATCGTTAAGCGACGAGACAAATCATCGTTCATCAATGATTCGACACCAAAACCTATTCAAGAAGAATCGAACTTCACTGCGGAAAATAAAAGAAATTTCTCAATAAATGTGCAGAATGAATCGATGCTCGATGAGAAGAATGAAAGCAAAAGGAAAGATGAGGTGCGAAAACTTGAGGAAGCTCAAATAGAACAGATCAGGGAGACGTTCTCTAAATTTTCAGAACCGAAAGATGAAAAATTAGATATTAATCGAGCCGATAAGAGACTGGTATCTGAGAGAAGTCAGCCTATTGGCTTAATCGATTATGGGAATTGGACGCCGTTGGACGCGGAAGGAAGAGTTTTGAAGCAAGAGGAACCGGAGGAAGAGTATCGAAACTGGAAACCGTTGCAGACAAACTTGGATACTGTCGAAGAAAGAACAAATTATGACAGATTGGGCGAAGCCCAATTCGGCAGCGATATCCTGTTTGCCAGGAATTTCCAGGATCGAACTCAAAAGAACTTCAAACTTAACGATCGAAATGTTGCGAATGAGGACGGGTTTCATTATATGTATATACCTCATATAGTGTCTACGAGGACAAATATTGGTGCCAATTTGTCAAAAAACCGAGATGGTAAAGCTGTGCCTCCGGAGGTAATCGTTCGATCGGAGATCAACGTGAAAACTATACCAAAGAGATCGCCCTTGTCATTGGACATCGATGGCACGCCAATAATTCATGGTACGAGAGTGTCCGATGAGCCTATCGACAAAATACAAACCTGGAGAAACGCTCGGGTTATCAATAACAAGCTTATAACTTCCGAAGACAGTTTAACGGTTACCACAGAGCCTCTTGTCGAGGCTTCCGACGATAACGCGGAAAAGAAAGAGAAATTTGAAAAGTTTTTTAAAAATGTTAATCGAAGGTAAGAAAAGATTCGATTTGCAGAAAATCGGCTGAGTATGATCTAAGTAAGATCATATTTAGCCGACATGAAAAATTTTAAGAACACTTAAAATAAAGACTAATATTATCAAAGCCATAGAAATATAGGAAGATAATTTATAAAAGATAATTTAAAATTAAAAAAATTTGGAATAAAAAAATGATCAAAGTTGTGTCTCTTATATTTCTGTTTCGAAATTGTTGTTTTCTTTTGTCAATTATTTATGTGCTTCTTTTCTGTATTTTATAATTATATTAATTATTTTAGTTACAGTAGAATTTCATGTATCTATAACGTTCCAGTTATACAAGCAAGTTTGTGCTCAGTTCCAAATAAACTCATAGCTGAGATCTTATTATTCTAAGTACGGTGCTATAGTTAAGGTAATAAGAGCTTGATGTATTGGAACTCCAATTTTCTGAACATTAGCTCTTGTTATCGGAATTCTTCAGATAAACGGAGTTTTATTGTACTTATTAATGGTACTAGTCGTATTGAACGATTCCTATAATTTTCTTATTTCTAGGTATGGTCGCAACTACAACGAAGAAGCTCACAATGTGTACTTCGAGTGGGATCCAAGAAATTACAAAAGCGAAGCCTTGAAAGCCGAGGTTTATGAGCCACGTAATGATCATTACCGCGCGAGCGTCCACAAAAGGATGTTACATCCGGACGGCATCACGAACTATCCGATTTCTCAACGTTACACCCCGGAGAGTCAGACTATAGCGCCGGTAGCGTTGAAGTCCGGCGCTCGCGCGCCGGTTCTCCAATACGCCCATCCAGAGCTGGGCGTGCAACCGGCCAAGATTCTAAAGAATGAGAAACGCCGACCGGAAAATTTCCCGGAAAACCAACATTCATTTACCGAGCAACGTCATAAAAAGAAATATGTGCTGAACAATAAGAACATCGTGGATAGTTATACCACGAAGAACTATTATCCGAATCAGCACTTCTATGGCTTGAAACGACCGTACGAACCGTCCCTTTGGGTGAAGATATCCGAAAATCTGAAGAACCAGTTTTCCACCGGAGTCGAGAGGGTCTCACAATTCACTAGGCCGGTAATCGATCCTTTGGTGGAGGCTACTCATAAAATCTCGCAGAATCTCGGTCTATCCAAAGGCTCAACCAAGGAGGCTCAAAACAAGATCGACACGGTAGCGACAGGTACTAGCATTCTAATTCCGGCTCTAGGTCTCGTTGCATCTGGTGCTGCGCTCGGCATAGGCGCCGTGGCGGTTGGTCGATATCTCGACGTCGACGTTCTGAAACGATCGAATGTCGACGAAGACGATCTGGAGCACAAGCGTGCCTTAGAAACTGGAGCGTACTTAAAAACGATCGAGGATGATAATTTAAAATTGAACGAAGCGACACCGCAGACCTTGTACGTTCCTCAGAACGATAAAACGAGAAACGAAGATATGGGTTCGGCAGAAAACGATGGAGTCTTCTTGGTTCTGGAAGAGGACAAACGAAACGCCGAGAGAATTGAAAATCGAGAAAGTAAACAGGTGGTGGATGAAGCCGATTACGTGGAAACTAATAGACGTAAAAGGAGAAGTCTCGATTATCTAGATATCTTCAAAGCGGATACTGACATGAAAAATCTGATACGCAGCAAGCGCTTTCAGAGAAAAGGTGCCGATTCCATCAGCGAGATCGTGGAAATCGATCTGCCTGCTGGCTCAGATCGCATCGATATCACTGAATTCCTAATTCCAAAAAATAAAAAGAAACATTCGAGTGAAAATGCTATTCTAGTTGTCAAAGACAGCTTGAAGATCCCAACAGAAAATTTTCGAATAGACACGTCGGATCAGAACATATTAAATGCCGCTACAAAGATATTCGGTGATAATTTGCGAGATGCAGCTTCAATAAATGAAGATAATGGACAACAAGGAAGAAATCTGAGAACCGATGCATTTTTCATGTTGGACAGATTGCAAAATTTCGAAAGTAATCTCGAGAAGGAAACAATAAATAGGAGACGAAAGCGAAGCGTCGAAAACAATCAGGAGCTTCTGGACACGTTGCAGAATCTGGAGAACGCAGAAGTGGCAGAAGTTGCTCACATACAGGGCGAATGGACGAACACACCCTGTGCAAAGAGGATATTTTGCGATACAATGATTCAAAGAGGTTCAGATGCCTCAGTGCTTATGGAGAAAAAGATGACGGCGTTATTAAGACTGTGAGTAATTTTGACTTATCACATTTTTTTAATCTATTAAAAAACAGAAATTTTTTTAATCTGTTAAAAAATAGAAATCTCTTAATTTTAATATCTTACATTTGGAAATCGTTGAACGATCTTAAAACGTAATTATTATAATTGAATGGATATGATTTATAAAAATTTAATAAATAATTTAAAGTTGAAAAAAATTTGATAGAATAAACAACATTATTTCAGTTGTGACTTTTACATTTCTATTTACAAGTTATTATTTAGTCGGGAAAAAGTAATCTTGGTTTTTTAATTTTTGTTAAAATGAAATATTAACGTTAAAATAATTTTTAAAATAAGTTTAAAAAATTAAAAAGATTATCAATTAAAATAATTAAATAATAATTAAAATGATCAATTAAAATAATCAACTTAAATAATCAACTTAAAAAATCACCTTCAATTAAAATAATTGCCGTTTGAATCTACTATTTTCTATTATCTTTCTAACAAAAATTCAATTTCATTGTGATAAAAAAACCGGCTCTTTGACCGAAAATCGACTTAATTTTTCATTTTAATTGTGTTTTGAAAATATTCTCCATTTAGACTATGTTGAATAAAATAGAGAATTCGATGTCTATTGAGTAGACTGCATGCGAGAAAACTTCCTACTGTAAGTCCATTAAGGTTTTTATTATGCATGAAGTAGAATAGAATTGTCATGCTGCAAAATGATCTTCATAATAAGTCAATAACCTTTTTGCTGTTAAAGAAAAATTCGGCTTTTATATATTCGCCGCAAAATTCAATTTTTGTCAGAAAATGAAATTTTGATAGAAAAATAATACGTTTAAACGGCAATTAATTTAATTGAAAATAATCTTTTGAGTATTTTATTTGAATAAAAATTTTTGACAAAAATCCCGAATTATTTTCTCTTCGACTTAATATTATCTTATCCTATTAGTTTGTCTTTTGATTTATTTGATTAGTTTATTTAAAATTTTTGATATAAATTTTAATATTATTTGTGTTATTGAGACGCATTATGCATTTAAATATTTCATTTCTTCTTTATTAATAATTTTATTAATAATTTTTATTTTTGAAGTAGTACTTATAACAAATTGTTCCAAATTATCTTATAATAATAATTGATTGCAATATTACAAAGTATAATTTCTTATAAAAGAGATGTTATAACTGTAAATAACCGTCTTTTATAGTTATAATATAAAAATGTTTGGTTGAATTAATTAAACTTTTGATTAAAAATAGAATCAGAGTTTTCTGGTAAAATCTACTCAAATTCTAATTAAATAACTAGAATTTTAATTAATATAATCTGGATTTTTCAATTCGTCCATTTTCGATGAGACATCTTTTTCAGTGTAACATTTATAAAGTAACTATGCGTACATTGCGTCATGCTCATTTTATTATATAACAAATCGCATTTGTTGGCAGTGATAATTCAAAATATAATAAACGATCACATCGATTTTCGCCGTGTTTTCGTGAAATCATACAAGCCAATTTAATTGGCCTAAACTATTAAGCTTGAAACATCAAGGAAACGCCAATAACAGCCAGTCAGGCAGAACTTATAGTCCGAGCAGTGGATAACTTTCTTCCAGCTTTCGCCGACGACGTCCTACTGACTGATTCGACTTTTACCTCTTAGCACAGTTTCACTGTATGCGCACGATGTGCCCTGTCCGCTATCACGTTGGTCATGTGCGATAGAAAAAAAGAAAGAAAAGTTGACAGAAAGAGAAAGACTTGAACATGTTATCGAAAATAAAAGAAAAAACGAGACAAAGAGAAAACTCTCGTGCTCCAATGCGATAACTTACTTACCTCGCGTTCGCTTCTCTTTCCAGTTCTTAATCGCGATTAATCCCTGTCGGATCACTTTTTGATTTCATCACAGTACTTAGGCATCCCAGTAATTAAGTGAAATGTGTTATTTCAAATGAGTCATCTTGGTAAAATTCATCATTGCGTGTATTGAAAGTGTAATATTTATTCGTAATTATTGATATATAATTACATATTAAATAATTAATGTATAAATTAATATAATTAATATATAATTATATATTAATTATATTGTAACAAATGCAAATGCTTTTTACACACTTTTCTATTTTTATCATTCTAGTGTAGTCGAGACTGTTTCATCTGTCTCTTATTTTCGAAAATTATAAGAAATAATTCGTAAAATTCGAGGAACTTCGAAATGTTTAGGAAATTTTGAGAAAGATTGATCGCTTGAGATAAGTTAAGAAAGCGAGATGAGAGAGAGAGAGAGCTCAAGTTCTCGCGAGTAATTTCGACGACATTACGTATCCGTTATCCACGAATGGATTGTTAATGACAAATATGGCATTTCCTGTAACATGTGAAACATACAATTCAATTCATTGTGGACGCGTGCATCCATATACCGATGAGAGAGCGGAATTATATCATGTATTATGTTGTAATGCATACTATCGAGTAAGCAGTTCTTACGTACGTGACAAGAATTTACGGGACAAACCGCTTTTCTAAAAATAACAAGAATTTTAATGTCCAAGAATTTTAACAATAAAAGAAGGACAATATAAGTTTTCTTTGTCAATTTTCTGCTCATACATGCTTTTAAGATTTTAAAACTATTCTAAAACAGTTTTTTTCCCATATATTCGATTAGTCACAAATAATCAATAGATGTTAATTTAAAGATAGTCAATACGAGATTGTACTTTTCCCAAAAAAAAAAAACATTCTGCTCCTTTTTGCTTAAAATTAAAAAATAATTTTAATTAATAATGAATCGCATTTGTATTCTGGAAATATAATTAAATTTTACTCTGTACATATAATTGTGATGTATATCTAATAATTAATATATTTAATTAGTCTTTAATTAACTATTTAATTAACAAGTACAATAACTTTTAAATCAGTTTGTATATCTCAGTGCGTCTTAAAGAAAGCGAGTTAATTGGAGCGAGCGATCGTTAATGGAAAACATGAGAAGATTAAAAGATCCGCAATCTAGTGCACACCTAATTAGTAATTAACTGCGTACGGTGTCGGTCATTTGTCGAAGTATGTCTCCAACTTTCTAATAGTTTGTTATCCTACACTCGACATTTGCGCGTATACTTACAGAATTCAATCTGGAGCAGCCGCACAGGTGTCCAGTCACTTTGAGGAGGTCATGGATGCCATTAGAAGACATGATTGTTCCAGCTTCTTGTGCCCACAGGCGAGACCCGGCAACATCTTCTTTTAGATACGCTTGTAGTTCTTAAATTGCGACTCTTCTTTTACTAGTTGGCATTTTCAACTCTAGTTAAGTCCTGCTTGAAAAAATATTTTTCTTTTAATGTTTCGTTGCAAATACATCCTGGAAATCCAGCTGGTTAAATCTTTTTCTATTTTCTCGGACACAACTTAGAAACTATCTTGACATTTTTCGTTAGGAAACAATTATTTCAATTAACAACGGGAAATATTTTCACATAAAAAATACAACTGTTACAGAAAATCTTGTACATATTATAGATAATTAGTAACAACACGCGAATTCTTTAGCTGTGTATAATAGCTCTCACGAAACAACAAAAAAATGAATATAAAACTTTTTTTAATCTGAAATTAGTTAAACATGTTTATTCAAACATGTCGATATGTAAAAATGCCAACAATAACTAAAGAATTAATATTCCTTATATATCCTTATATATCCTTTCCAAGACTTGCCGGGTATATTAAATTCGCGTGGTGTATTTTTTTTTTATTAGGGTGACTCGCATGATTGTGATCAGTTGCATAAAATCTTTAACGTGATCTTTAAGAAAATGTTTCGTTACATTTGCAATAATTTTGCAATTAAACAAGTTTCTATCAAACACATTGAATCAACGACGAACCAAAAGTGTACATATTTGCCAGCGAGGCAATTTTATTTAATATGCACTCATATTTGTAACTTAGATAATTAAGTATAGAATTTAAGGGAGAGAATGTAAGTTCGGCGGTGAGAAAGTTGCGTCTTTTGCAATTTCCGAATGTTCACCATATCACCTAATCGTCCTTTGGTGAATTCCGTCGTTTCTTCTCGTCTTATTTCTGCATTCCTGCGTTCCGTTCGAATATAAATTATATCGTGCGTAAAATATAATTTATTTCGACGCGCTGAGAGATCAGAAACAATGTTACATGAAAATATATTATTAATTCAGAGAGAGAAGTCGTCGCCAATCGTTACGAGAATATATTTATTTCTGTCCTTACGTATAAAATTGTATTTGTATAAGTCAACGAATAAATAATATTTTTTACAACATATGTGCGGTGTTTGAGTTTTTTATTTACTCTTTATACGTCAGTGACATCTGTTTGCAGATTTTGAACAACTGCTAGAAATTAAGCAATGGTCGATTGATAGGCGGATGATATCGGGTAAATAACTTGCTTATAGTCGAAAAGAAAGTGCTGCATTCACGACATTTGATTCATGATGATTATTACTCATGTTACTATTGATTGTTATCCGAAAGGGTTTATAGAAGTACTCACAGATGGTAGCGGTTTAATCTTCTGTGTACTGAGCAAGCGCAAAATCACAGCGGTTTGGTATAATCATAAAGAACGAATCAGTTAAACGATAATTTTCGCTCCGTGAACTGCAATGAACGTCAATGAAGGTAGAATATATCTCGAAAAAATAGCAAAAGTATGCACCGCGATATTTTACTAAAATATAGGCGTGTCGTGTGAAAGTTATATAATACAATGTAGTATAAAAATTATATTTTCGATCATATGTGTGTTGATAGAAATTTTTATTCCAGTTTAAATTCTGTGCAATTTTCGAAAAGATTATTATAATTAAATTACTATTATTTGTAACAAATTAATGGAATCTTATATTATTAAATAACTTGCTTCATGTGAAATATTACTATTCACATTGATATAATAATATTTAGTTTCCAATATTTTTCTAATTCTAGTCAATTTTAATATCAATCATTATTAGACTAATATTAAGTATTGTTACAATTTATTTCTATTTTCTTAATATTGCAAAAATATTCCTATTCTTGAAATGATTATATATTCTATTTGTTACTTAATATGTTGACTATATGAAACGATTTTTTAGTAAAGGATGCTTAATAAACATACAATAATAGTTACATAACTAACAGTCATAAATAAAGGGATAGGGGAAAAATTCGCTTTTAACAATTTGCCGCAAAAATCCACGAGAATCATAATTTTTTTCAAGGCGACTATACATCTGTCATAGAAGTTCGGAACTTTGTGTTCCACGAAAGTTTGCGAAAACCAGGTATAAAACTTTCTATGCTAGCAAATGCTTGCTTTCTCGATATATAGATTGTTCCAAAGTGTTTTTGAGTGGTAAAGTTGAACGATGTATAAATTGAACGATTAATTCTGGTGATGTGTGCACGATTTATTTCTGATTTCCCTCCGTTATAGACAAAGGGTTCGGAAACTTTAATTCTTAGAAAAAGAAACTTTAATTCTTAAAAAATACAATTAAAATAGAAATTTTTCGTCAGAATTGATCATCTTATAGGAGATTTTTTTTTTAAAGAGAGTTATAAATTACTAAGAGAACACTTTAAAGTTTTAGCTTTTTAAAAAAAATGATAAATAATATTTTTTTACATTATCCATTATTCATCTCTCATTATTAATATTTCCTCTGAGGAGGTCTAAAAAAAATATTAGGATTTAAAAAACTTACAATATTCAATACCAAATTATAAAAAATAATACATATAAAATAAATTATAACTGTGATATCTATAATTTAAAAACGTAATGAAAAGAATGATTTTATTTAGAAGTACTTAAAAATTTAGCTAAATACTGAAAATAATTTTATTTAGATCATCAATCGTTTAAACTGATTGCTAGAATGTTAAATCTTTTGCAGCATTGTCATCAAAGCTTTAGCATTCTACAAATATAATTATTCTGATGATTCAATGAAATTATTTTTAGATCTAACTACATTTTTAGACACTTCAATAAAACTTCTTTTTGTACGTTCATGAAATATAGTAATATTTATTACAAGTCAGAAAAACAAAATTTTAAAAATACACAAAATAATAATGTTTCTTCTAAATTAATAATAAATAGAAATATTCCTTTGATTTGACGAAATTTGATTTGGTTAGATATAAATTACGCCTTTGCGATGAGTCGCCAATGTTTACGGATATTAGGCGTATGGCCCGATCCATTTGTGAGTGATTCTAAACGGCTAAACATAAGATTCATGATCGTTGCGTGTATCCTGAGTTTTTACGTGATCATGCCGCAATTTACAAATATGATACTTGCTTGGGGTAACGTGGCTCGGATGGTGGAATATGTCGCCTCTGCAAATTTCAGTTTGATGGCACTGTGCAAGTTAGTCGGTACTTGGTATCACGGTGAAAGTAAGTTATCATTTCAAAAATAAGTTGTTATCGATATTTTTATTAAAAAATGTGGAGATTCGTTACTTATAATTATAAGATCAATATTGTAAAATCAATATTGTAACTATTTTATCATATACAAACGGCTTTTCCGTACGTTCTATTTTTTTAATCATTTTCATAGTTTATTGATATATCGTATTTAATTCAAAAGCACTTCGAACGCTGATGATATCGATCATGACCGATTGGATGACTTCAACAAACAACCGGGAACGAAATACAATGTTAAATATAGCAAAACGTGGGAGAACTTTATCTGTTAGATGTTTTATAACCATGACGGGTACAGTCACGTTTTACATATGTCTCAACCTCCTGAAATTCTATCGAAATGTGCATCAACCTCAAAGGAATCTCGTGTATCGATTTTCCTATCCTTACAACACTCAAAATACTCCGAATTACGAAATCACTTTTTTCACTCAACTTTCTGGCGGCATGTACTCGGCTATGATCAACTGTACCATCGACACTTTTATCTCGATACTTGTGCTACACATATGCGCACAGTTGATAAATCTACGAATGGCACTCAACAATCTGGTCGACGAATTAGCCAAAGGATCTATATCTTCCTCAAGATTTAAGAAAGGTCTAATTGCGATTACTATGCGTCACGAACATCTTATCAGGTATGCTGAAAAATTTCAAATAATTATTTAACTATGAAAATTAAATATTTAAAATCATTTATTTATAAGATATTTTTAAATAGAATTCATTCTTTCATATTTATAATACGATGTTCTAATATATAAAACAAAAAGTATTCTTAAATTAAGACATTTTTTAAAAGACATACAAAATATGATTTAAAATTTTAATTTTAAGATCATTAGATTTAAATAAGGATTATAGTAGAGTAAATGTAAACTACCATTCCACTTTAAAAACTGTGGTTCTATATTAAATATTTTTTAATCTTTATATATAAATTAAAATTTTGTATATATCAAAACAATTATAATAAATCATATTAATATAAAATGTATGAATTCAAGGAACGCAAACACAGTCGATGAATGTTATAGCGCAGTGTTATTTGTGCACATGTTAGCTGCTACTTTTCAGCTGTGTTTTGAAAGCTTTCAAGTTTTTACGGTAAGAGAGATAATTTACTCTTTTTTCACAAAGTTTATGCAAAATAAAAATTGAATATATATCACACACACACACACACACACACACACACACACACACACACACACACACACACAGTAAAAATGCTTTTTCGCTAAATTATCTATTTTGCTAAAATAATGTGGAAATATATCAGATAAAAATTTGACAATACGGTTGATTTATAAATAATCATTAGACCGAGAAAAATATATGTATTATTTTCAGATAGTAACAAGTCATTTGGGTATACCTATTATCAAAATAACCTTCCTCTCGTTTTACTTTTCTCTTGTATTGACGCATTTGTATTTTTATTGTTATTCAGCTGAAAAACTTTCAACGGAGGTAAAATAATTATTATTTATGTATCAAAAAATGATTTTCCTAAGCGAAACAAAGATGTAATTTTCAGAGCACAAATATGGCGAATGGCGTGTATGAATGCAAATGGTACGATATACCACCAAGAGATGCGAAGAATTTATTGTTTATGATATATCGATCTACAATTCCGCTTAAACTGACAGCTGGAAAATTTGGAACTTTTTCCTTAGAAATGTTCGGAACAGTAAGACATTTAAGAAGAAAAATATATTATTTCACAACAAAAAATCCCATTTTTTACCTATAAAAAGACATAACAAAATACGATTATGAACATTGATTTTCAATAAAACTTTTATTTTTTGCGATTTCGCAAAATAAATAAATTTTATTTTAAAATTAAAAATGTTCTCTTTCGATCACATTAATTAAATAAGCTCTGAAGATAACTTTTTTCACCGATAATGTGCGATTTTAAAAACATAGTTAATTTTTGTAAATTCTGATAAATAAATTTAAATTTATAAAAAATAAATAAAATACAATTGGACTTTTGATGATAAAAATTTGTTGTTAAAAGTATGCAAAACTTTTTTTCATATCTTTATTAAACCGGAGCAATATAAAAATCTGCACTGAACTTTAAAGACTCAGATTGCAGATGAAAGATAAAAATTTTGTTTCCAATATAAGGGACAATTAAGAATAAGTATTACCTTAGCCAATAATATAAGATGTTTTGTCACTTTGCATGAATATTGTACTTTTTCTTTTATGTATTATATAATGTATTAATATTCTGTATAAGAATAATATAATTATAATCATCCATAAAAAATTAAAAAAATATATTATATTTTTATTTTACATAGACGGTGAAAACGTCAATGGGATACCTATCTGTACTGCTGACAATGATGGATTAGAAAGTATAAATGTTTAAATAATAAATTAAATGCGCGTACTTTATTATTATTTATTTTCTACATACTATGTTAACAGATTTATACATATTAGATATTTGTAATATAATTTTTGCTGGACAAATATATATGTTTTTGGCAACAAATATAAATTATTTATTTATTATCTTTCGTTATAAAGTAATTCTATATCAAAAAGAAAAGCACTACTGTAATCTTCAATTCAGTAATAAAAAATATGATAATTATATGTTATTCGTGTTACTATCGATTGTTCTACAAGAGTTTATACAAGTATTCACATAGATAGTAACCGTTAAAAACCTTTGTATTCTGAGCAAGCGCGGTATACTGAAAATCAAGGCGGTTTGGTACAATTGCAGAGAGCGATTCAGTCAACTGATCATTTTTGCGCTGTGAACATCAATGAACGCCAACAAAGGTAGAACATATCTCGAAAACAAAATAGTAACAATTTGTGCATTGCAAGTTCTATTAAAAATATAATTATTTATATAAACATATAATAATAATAATATATTTTACATTACAAATCAAGGATTGTTTATTAAATCAAAGAAAGAAATAATTTTTAATAATTTGTTACGAAAAATAGCAAAAAGCATAGTTTTTTACAAGGAGTCTATAGATCTGTTATAGAAGGTTAAAACTTTGGTGATTCACGAAAGTTTGTGAGAATGGAAATAAAGCTTTACACATTAGCAAAAAATGTTTCGTTTTCGATAAGAAGTTTTCCTGCAGATATATAGTGTTTTTATATTGCAAAGTTGGATGAAATCAAGTTACGTGAAACAAACGTCAGTTGTGCACAAATCTTTTATTTCCAGAGAAACAGTTTACTAAAAAGAAATTTTTCAAAGTTTTGACAACTTAAAAATTGAAGTATAATTATAGCAACAACTTTAAATAACGATAAAATTTTGCAAGAAGATATCGCGAAGAGAGATGAGAAACTTAGACAATATAACCGTAAAAATAGTGTGACATTGAAAAAAAACATTTTAATCAAAAATATTTTTAGCTTTGTTTTAGTAGAATATTATATATTCAATTTATTCTCAATTCATTATTTAATCACTTTAATTTTTATTTTATATATTATGTACACGAGTTTAAAAAAGTGTTAGCTTTGTTTTATAATAACATAGAAGCAACAAAATTTTTTTAATTCAGATACTAGACCATGATATTCTTACATGTACTTTGACATTTTGACACTGGATCCAATTGCTCCATCAAGTGATATTTTTTTTCATATCGATAAAAAATAGCTCGATTTTTCAGTACTTTTAATCTATCAGTTTGCATATTATTGTTGAACTTCTTTTTCCTCTTTTTCTTAGCTCGCATATGAAAAATCAGGCTATAAATAGCTTTACAAATATTGGAAAATTGAACTATTCCTAAAAAAAAGAATGTGACGTGATAGAACAATTTTGACATCGGATTCGGTTTCAAAACATTAAAATACATATAAAAATACCATGGTCTGATCTCCGAATCAAATATTAAATTTTATTTAATGTAATCTATAATAACGAATTATATAAAAAATAATATAAATGAAGTGAATTTCTTCAGTGTTATAATACAATTAAAAATAAAAAATAAGTAACTTCTATATTCACCACTAACTACAATAAGATGATTTTAAATAAGATGATTACTTCTAACAAATGAGAAACAAAATTCGAAAGTGACAAATTAATATATATTGCAAATTATATATAATAAGCAATGATGTTTTTCCAAATATTTTAATTTACAGATTTGAATTATATGTTTACTCTGACTCGCCAGTGGTTATGGGTATTTGGCATATGGCCCGATCCACATATGTCTTTGAGTAACTTTCGTTGGCCAAATATACGATTCGTTATCATCATATGTAACATATGTCTGTACGTATCAGCGCCGCAAATGATGAATGTGATTCGTGCTTGGGGTAATGTGACGCGAATGGTGGAAAATTTTGTCTCTGCGAATTTTAGCTTGATGGCAATATGCAAACTGTTCGTTACTTGGTATCATGGCAAGAGTAAGTCCATTTCACGCGACAATGTAACTATCGGATAGATTTATTTTTCCATTTTTTATTAAGATGTTAAAATGAATCTTCCTTATTTAAATACTTATTTATTAATAACAATAAATACAAAAAAATGCAGGCAATGTTCTATGTAGAAACTCAGACAGCATGCATGTCTAAAATTAGGTCATAAGACATAAGGTTATAATGTGTAAAGGACAACCTTATTTCCTATTTAATGTGTAAGAGCGATTTCGATCGAAAAATTTATCCTTTCAGGTTAATAGTACATAATATTTAAAAATTTAGATATATATTTAAGCTTATTTAGTTTAAATATGACTTGTTTTGACAGAAATTGTTAATACATACTATACATTAAATGATGTACAAATGAGAATAACTTTTATGCCATTTAAATTTCAATAATAAAAAATATAATTAATATTGAGAAATTGATTGAAAGAAATTTTATTGCTTAATATTTATAGGTGAAAAAAATAAAAACCTTTAAATATTTTTGTATAACTTCTACCAATATATACTTTGTTGCCAATGAATAATTTTATTTAAAAAAATAAATTATAATAAAT